GTGATGACGGTACGGTGCGCACCGCCACACAGTCGCCTCGAAAGCCCTAAGTCCCCCACCCATAGATATAGCGCGGTATACCGCGCATTTATAGCGAGGTATACCGCGGTTTATTGCGCGTAGCCCTGCGCAACTTCTCGGGCCTCTCCTTAGACTTGCCATATTGGGCTATATGACACCTCTAATGTGTGTCGTCATGTGGGATTATTAGGTGGATTGTCGGGAGTTGGTGAGAGCCTTGCTGGTGGTTGATGAAGTGTGCACAGAGGTGATGAGAGCACAATCGGTAGTGGTTTTGAGTGCGACCGGAACCGATTATCGGGAAAAAAGAAATCTGTGTGCACAGATATAACAGACACGGGTGATACCGCGGGTGTCACGAGGTCACACCGTACCCGTACCCGCGAAACCCGTCACCCGTACCCGTACCCGCACATTACCGTGATTTATAACCGCGGGTATTTAAAAATAACTGGAGCATACAGAATTGAACCCAAGGGAGTTGGGTTTGCCTCAAAATGTAGAACTAACACATATCCAACTAGACTACAAGAGCTTGGCAAATTTTCCTGTTCATATTCAGGTGAACTGAGTGTAATCAAGCAATTGTGATTTGATCAAATATCCTACCAGGAGAGGCTCACAATATTTCAGGTTCTGTCTATGGTGCTATGGTCTACTTGGATATCTACCTTCTTCAAATTTCTACTCAAACTGCTAAGATCATGTGTTCAAGTCCCGCCTGAGGAGCTTTTTGGAGTTCGGGTACGGGTTACGGTATTCGCGGTATTCGAAAAATCCAACACCGCACCCACGGCACCCATACCCGTAATACCGCGGGTTTACCCGTACCCGTGTCACACCCTACACTGAACATAACACGGACACACAGCTCAATAACCTTAAAAACCCATTTTCCAAGGATGGTCCCTACAGGCTCTTGCATGTTGAGGTCCTTCCACTGCTCTGTCTATTCACTGCAGACCAGGTTGCACTCCTTAACCTTAACACACACTTGGCACACTTATGTTATGTCTGTGCATCGGCTTCCGATGAACTCGGCTGACCTGAGGAAGCTCAGGGACTTTCCGAGATGTCAGGAAGTCCTCAGGTTATCTTCCCGAGGTTGGGTTCAACACAATGAAGGTCTGCTGAGCATTACCCATTTACCCTGCCTCATGTTTGCCTCATGTGCGACTCATGTTGTCTCAGCCCCTGGGCTTCTTTGATACTTACAATACTAGACTTCCATATTTGGACTTTACCTTGTTGTCAAGTCCACATGCTCCCCATCTGATAACACTGGATATTCCCACTGCTATATTAGAACACTACTATTTAATAGCCTTAGAGTACATCCTATTCTTCAGTTTAATAACTGAGTTGCTTTGCCTTCCCTGCATTGCCTCTGGGTTCCTTCCGACTTCTCTCTCTCTCGCTCCTCTCTCACTGTAGCACAAGTAGTACGCTCACCCTCGCTCCTGTGGTGTTATGTCACTCTGAGCCGTCAGACTCTTCCCGACAAGTCGGGTAGTTTCCCAGCCCAACGTCACCTGACCTGATCTCGTCCTGATCTGCCCTTGCTGCTCGCTCGGCCCCTTGTTCACCTCTCCTCTGGACCTGGACATAACAACTTACTGCAATCCGAGTTGCATAAAATGAATAGTCACTAGGTGGTCTGGGTCTTAGCACTCAAATTTTGTAGACACTTGTATTAATCTAATTGAACAGTCTATGCGAGACAGTCAATTATTCTGGCACATAACCTACGCGAGATCTATTCGCAAAGATATTCTGGTCTCAGTGTCTTCTCGGCCACCACCCAACGACTTCATCCCAATCCACGTCAAAGAGCTTTGCAGCCCTTGCCTCAGAATCCATGTCCAACCCTGCACATTTGTCATTCTTCTATGCTCTCTGGAATGCACGGCTGTCTGGTGAGTTCCACCAAGACACATAGGCACACCGCATCTCAGCGGAACGCTGCACTATAAAGTTACCATCAGCACTGGGGCGTGATTCAAGCTCCACCCCCCAATTGTCCAGACGAAGTGTGTACTGAGTAGACAGCCTAATGTCCCAGAGGTATCTGGATCGTCTGTGATTCCTGGAAGGTTTTCGAGCCAAAAGTATATGTCAATTTGCTGGAGAGTCAAGAGACCCTAAGGGAGTGTACCTGGTGTAGCCGCCTCACATTCCAAAAAGAACGTGCTCAACTCCCACGAGGAGAGCCAGAGACGCCTCAGTGACAAGGTGATGCCTGAGCTGTGCAGCAATGTGCAGGAGGTACCCTCTAATGGTGCTTCCCACAGCCCCAACAAGACAAGACTGCATTTCGAGCGGCTTGAAAGGTGGGGTAGCATTAGGAACTGGGCGAGCACGGTATTGCCGCAGAGGGTGAAGCTCTCAATGTTTGATAAGGTGTGTGATAACCTTGGCAAAGAAAACTCATGACCCCGCGGCAAGTTGAAGCTGCAAACACAACTAAGTTACAGCGGTCACAAGAGCCAGGATCTCTTCCAACTGCTCCACCACCAGGTTGTCCACCATCTTGCTCATGCATCAAACATTCCCTAGAGCCAAACTCTCCACGTACGTGTTGAAACCTTGCTAGTAGACAAAGTCTGATTATATCCGCAGCGCCGAGGCTCGCACCTATGGATAGTTTTGAGGAGTATGAGAACTTTGTGGATGTTTCACAACTCACCTATGACCTGGCCCACTGAAACTGAAACTTCTCCGTAGGGGCTTCTTCATCTTGCCACCAAATCTTTACGTAGCCTACTCCATATGTGTCCCCCAATTGGTTCCCACAACTCGTAGGCCACCTGTTGATGTGTAACATTCCTGTGCACACTCCTGCTACCACCCCAGTGGTGGCTCAGATATCACAGGTAAGTAATCCTGAAGCAGTTAAAAACATAATCTGACTTACCTCTTGTTACAGTGGCCTCTATACGAGCTCTGTCTCTCAAGCACTTGTGTACTTGCCACAGCAGCTTGTTGGATTTAGTCTCAACCGGCCAACATTGACAGCGGAAGAAGTCCTTCACACAATATTCCAGCACGATACCACAGCAGGAGGATACTTACTTCGGCATCTCCACCTTTCCAATGAAACAACTTCAGCATGTATGGTAGGCTTGACCCTGGTCTTCCACGTCCCGGTCCTGTATGAGCTGCTGACAAGTAAATTCAGAGATCTTCTTCTACTGGCAGATTGTCTCTCAAGCACCAATAACCCACACCATGTTTTGCATGCCACCCAAGACAGTATATCTGCCACCCAGTTCCGATCCCACCATAATCTTGTGCCTTCAGTCCAGCTTTATTTGGTGTACGTGGTGGAGCTTGTTAGTGCCTCATTTGATTGATGTCTTTGTGACTCACCATTACACATAGCCATTGACAAGCAGTCATGTCACCACAGAGCTGTTTCTCACTGCACACTACAAATACGAGCGGTAGCTTCTCGCAGATTTACTAACCACGAGCCACGGTGTCCCTTCCAAATATAATCATCCAAACACACATTCACAACATCATTCCCCACACCATGCAGTCTCAAGTATGCTGTTCACTCACTGGTTGCTATGTATCAATGGACTGTGAACTTTGGCCCATCACTTACAGTGCAGCTGGTCTCAACCTATTGGAATAATGGTGAGGAAGCTCTCATGAACCAGTTTCTTGACCTTACTGCGCTGATCCAGCATGTCATTGCATTCCTTTGAGTGCACAAGACCAAACACGAACAGCTTGCAGTGGCAAAGGAGAAGCGGCACCTGGAGAAGAAGTCCAAGAATAAGAAAGCAAAAGCAGCGTGCCTGGCAGTAAATTCAAATACCTAGGGAACACCAAAGCGTGGCCGTCCTACAAAACACAAAGTTGGCCAGGCGTGTCCAGAGGTACCACAGGAGTCTTCGGACATAGTGCCTACACCTTTCTCAGATGCGGTGCTGGTGCCACCGTCCGATGTTCCACAGACCAGCACTGCCTCGGATGGGCCAGACTTGTCTCAAATTCCAGGGGATCTCTTTGGCTTACTGCTACCGACAAAGACCAGGATTATCCTGGAGAGGCTGGGGGTCAATGTGTGGATCCACAATGACGAGGAGCTCTACAGACTAGCAGCCAAATATCTGTGCAAGCTCTGGGACGAGCATCTCATCCTGAAGCCAATGACCAAGGTCAATGAATCCCTCAATCGTCCGGTCAAAAATCCCATGAAAAAGCAGACTCGAGAGCACATGGACCATGTGCATAGCCAGTGCATCACATGTGGTTGTTATGTCGCTGAGCCAAGAGGGAAGTATCCGATCATATGACCACAGCCGGACTAAGCTGATACTCGGCGATGAACAGATGTCTAGATCAGCCCTTCTCGGAACACCACAACTCAGCAAGGGTGACCGATTGACTGGCCTCGGGCTGTAAGATGAAAATGTGTCCGATACCAAGGCTCCAGGTAGTACTAGCTCGAAGATGGCGACGGGATACGGATAGCCTAGACCGGAGATGCAAGAGCAATTACCGATGTCGTTGGTTAGTCCTCTGGCATAAGTCCGGGACAGACCAGAGCAATGATGATGAGCCGGAGTCGACTGGAGGCATATCCAAGAAGCAAGAGACAACCCAGAGTTGTACCGCAGTTGTTGATATGGCCGAACGAGAACTCCGGGGATGCGACCGAGAGGTTCGGTGTGAGCTATCACTTTGTGATTAGCTCCAAGCGCCCTTCTGCACAGAACAAAAGCACCTTTCAGAACCACCGGCAAAGTGTCATCACTGGCGCACTCGCAGATTGGAAATCACTGGCATACTCGCAGATTCGAAACCACAAAGGTGCACTGACAAAATGGAAACCACAAAAAGGCGCAATCACAAAAGTGAAAGTGCACGGTCACGGAAAAGCACAAAAGGCGCACTCACAAGATAGAAAGGTGTGCTCTTGCAAAAAGAGGTGGCTTTGTTGGGGAAGAACAAAGCTACCGCTTTGAAGGCCAGACCCCGAGTCGAACAAGGGTAGCGGATCGAATATTGCATTAGCCCCGAAACAGACATCCATGCACTAACCACTGTGCTATCTGGCCATGATAGACTTGAAAAGAGTCGCGCAGAACTATCAAAATGTGAAGAGTGCCGCGCACCCCGAAGATGGAAAGGCGCCGTGACGAGAAAGGCGCGCTATATTAAATCAATGACCTTTCACATATCATTTGCACGTGCCAGGCTAGTCTTCTCCTCTTGGGCAAGCAGTCTTCAAAGCGAATGTAAATGCAAGTCAGGCCAGAGAATGCTCAGTGTAACAAAATTGACATGACAAAGCGAATACGCTAGCTCATCGCGATCTGGGAGCTGCGATGTAGTACAAACTGTAAGTAGAAGATGTAGGTAAATGCACTCCGAGGAGCGCTGGGTCATGAAATATCTCCGAAGAGACTGGGGAAGGCAAAAATTCATGCCAGGATGCCAACGGAGGGCAAGACAACATGCATAGATGGATGGTGGTGTGTCAGGCGCGGCCGTAGGCCGCTGTGAGACGCTCCTGGCCCCGAGAGTGCAATAAAAGTAACTTCGGGAAGTAGGAGACGTAGCTCGCACGAGACGTTCCCGACAACCAGAGCGCAACGAAGGCGACTCCGGGCAGGAGACGAAACTCGCGTGGGCAGCCCGCGGCCAGCGCGACGCGAGACTGGGGAGTACCGACGCCAGAAAGCGGACAGCTGGACCCCAACCGGAGCAGCGCTCCCAAAGCGAAACACGGCCGGCGAACGCAATGGCGACGGGCACCCCAACCGGAGCGGTGCGACGAGGAAAGGAGGGAGGAAAACGATAACATAAAAGTTTAAAGAACGAATGAGTAGATGGACTTAGCGTTGGAACGAGGACCCAGTAGACCCAATGTCTTGATGCCGGCAAGCTAAGAATATGTCGCCGGAGATCCACGCTAACGACATTCGAGAGATTGCCGACGCATCCAGCCCAGAAATAGGCGAAAAGGCTAGAAAAGAGCTCCTAGAGATGGCTGGAAACGGTGGAAGTCTGGAGGATCCAGAGACAAAACTAGCGCGCAAAAAAACTGTCGGCGCGACGCGAGGTGGTGGGAGCGAGCAGAGCAAAGTCTAAAGTTGAATTGCTTGATATCCCGAGTGTCTTTAACACTGAAATCCGGATGTGTGGCTTGAGTTTGAGGTGGAGGACAAAGGATGGCCAGACAACCCAAATATTTGACAACACTAGTCTGAGTGAATGCTATGAAACATACTGGTTGGGAGATTCAAATTTTTCAGCACAATTTACGGTGAAAAATGTTGTTGGGTTTTCAGACATTTTTCAGTGAAAGAAAGGGTGAAAAATTTAAACATTTTTCACCACAATTCTCAGTGAAATTCAAGGTGAAAAACTTGAAACAAAATTCATAAGAGTTCATGCCAAATTTTCACCATAAATTCCAGTAGTTTTTCAGAGGTTTTTCACTGGAAAAGTAGCTGAAAAATTCAAACATTTTTCACCACTATTTTAAGTGAAATTTAAGGTGAAAAACTTGAAACAAAATTCATAAGGTTTTATACCAACTTTTCAGCTCAAATTCACCCAAATTTGAAGCCATAAATGAGGGTGAAAAATTCAAAACTTTTTTTACCACAATTTTCAGTGGGAAAATCCATGAAAAATGGCTGAAAAATGTTCAAAGAAAGGTGGTGGAAAACTTGAAACCTGGTTTCACTTTTTTCAGGATTTTTTTCACCACTTTTTGCAGGGGAAATATAGGTGAAGAAGTCAAAACAGTTTTCAGACATTTTTCGCCTAGAATTGAGGTGAAAAACTTGAAATCTGAATTTAAGTTTTCCAGTGGAAAATTTGAAACCTTCATTTCAAGTTTTCCACCACAAATTCACTAGTTTTTCAGCTGAAAATACTGGTGAAAAACTTGAAACCTGGCTTAAAACTGACATGTTGAATTGAAGAATTACATAAGGAAAGGAGGGTAGAAGGTGGAAGAGAGGAGAATGACATGAACTGTTTCGCTAGCTTGTGTGGTTTTAGAACTGTGTATACCCTGGAGTGGCACAAGGGATGGTGCAAGCAGAATGGAGCCCCAGAGAAGACAGAAGTTGTTCAAGTCGACTGTGGGTGCTCTGTGAAGCGATGGATTGAAGAGAAGAGCAACAGTCAGTGTTACACTCGGGGAATGGCGATCCTTGTAATTAAAGCCGAGCTCTTCAGACTGCCAGGTAAAACTCAATGTGTGGGAGGGGGGGCTGTTAAATGAATGAAAATCATGATTGGTGGTGGCTTACAATGGGGTCAAAGGTGCTTATCAAGTGCTCAGAGTGTGTGCCATTCCAACCCAGTAGCGGGGGGAATTGATGGGGGGAATTCTGTGGAATTGGGTCAAAGGGAGGGGGGGCTGTTAAATGAATGAAGGTCATAATTGGGGGCAGTTCACATTGGGATCAAAGGTGCTTATCAAGTGCTTAGAGTGTTTGCCATCCCAGCCCAGTAGTGGGGGGAATTTACATGGGCAATTCTGCGGAATGTAGTCAAATTCGATTGGGTCAGATTTTTGTAGGAGTTGCCCTCGCTTGCACACGGGAGTCATGAGAGGACACCCTGAAGACTCGACTGCACGATCACTGGGACCTCCAGTGTGCTTGCAGGCACCCCGATCACTGGGACCTCCAGTGTGCCCGTGCACCCAGAATTTGCAGAATTTGCCCAATTCAGAACCTTGCATCAGTCAACCACGGTTGGGATGGAAATTTTCTGCTGATACTGGGGAGTTGTAGGGAGAATTCCTAAGAACTTGACTGCGCCATCACTGGGACCTCCAGTGTTCTCGCGGGCCAGGGAAATTAAATTCCCCCCGCGCACCCAGAATTTGCAGAATTTGCCCAGTTCAGAACCTTGCACCAGTCAACCGCGGTTGGGATGCAAATTTTCTGCTGATAATGGGGAGTTCTAGGGGGACGGTTCTGGACTGGGCAAATTCTGGGTGCACGGGGGGAATTTAATTTTCCTGGCCCGTGAGAACACTGGAGGTCCCAGTGATGGCGCAGTCGAGTTTGTGGGAAGTTTCCCTACAACTCCCCGCAGAAAATTTCCATCCCAACCGTGGTTGACTGATGCAAGGTTCTGAACTGGGCAAATTCTGCAAATTCTGGGTGCGCGGGGGGAATTTAATTTCCCTGGCCCGCAAGAACACTGGAGGTCCCAGTGATGGCGCAGTCAAGTTCTTAGGAATTCTCCCTACAACTCCCCAGTATCAGCAGAAAATTTCCATCCCAACCGTGGTTGACTGATGCAAGGTTCTGAATTGGGCAAATTCTGCAAATTCTGGGTGCACGGGCACACTGGAGGTCCCAGTGATCGGGGTGCCTGCAAGCACACTGGAGGTCCCAGTGATCGTGCAGTCGAGTCTTCAGGGTGTCCTCTCATGACTCCCGTGTGCAAGCGAGGGCAACTCCTACAAAAATCTGACCCAATCGAATTTGACTACATTCCGCAGAATTGCCCATGTAAATTCCCCCCACTACTGGGCTGGGATGGCAAACACTCTAAGCACTTGATAAGCACCTTTGATCCCAATGTGAACTGCCCCCAATTATGACCTTCATTCATTTAACAGCCCCCCCTCCCTTTGACCCAATTCCACAGAATTCCCCCCATCAATTCCCCCCGCTACTGGGTTGGAATGGCACACACTCTGAGCACTTGATAAGCACCTTTGACCCCATTGTAAGCCACCACCAATCATGATTTTCATTCATTTAACAGCCCCCCCTCCCACACATTGAGTTTTACCTGGCAGTCTGAAGAGCTCGGCTTTAATTACAAGGATCGCCATTCCCCGAGTGTAACACTGACTGTTGCTCTTCTCTTCAATCCATCGCTTCACAGAGCACCCACAGTCGACTTGAACAACTTCTGTCTTCTCTGGGGCTCCATTCTGCTTGCACCATCCCTTGTGCCACTCCAGGGTATACACAGTTCTAAAACCACACAAGCTAGCGAAACAGTTCATGTCATTCTCCTCTCTTCCACCTTCTACCCTCCTTTCCTTATGTAATTCTTCAATTCAACATGTCAGTTTTAAGCCAGGTTTCAAGTTTTTCACCAGTATTTTCAGCTGAAAAACTAGTGAATTTGTGGTGGAAAACTTGAAATGAAGGTTTCAAATTTTCCACTGGAAAACTTAAATTCAGATTTCAAGTTTTTCACCTCAATTCTAGGCGAAAAATGTCTGAAAACTGTTTTGACTTCTTCACCTATATTTCCCCTGCAAAAAGTGGTGAAAAAAATCCTGAAAAAAGTGAAACCAGGTTTCAAGTTTTCCACCACCTTTCTTTGAACATTTTTCAGCCATTTTTCATGGATTTTCCCACTGAAAATTGTGGTAAAAAAAGTTTTGAATTTTTCACCCTCATTTATGGCTTCAAATTTGGGTGAATTTGAGCTGAAAAGTTGGTATAAAACCTTATGAATTTTGTTTCAAGTTTTTCACCTTAAATTTCACTTAAAATAGTGGTGAAAAATGTTTGAATTTTTCAGCTACTTTTCCAGTGAAAAACCTCTGAAAAACTACTGGAATTTATGGTGAAAATTTGGCATGAACTCTTATGAATTTTGTTTCAAGTTTTTCACCTTGAATTTCACTGAGAATTGTGGTGAAAATTTTTTAAATTTTTCACCCTTTCTTTCACTGAAAAATGTCTGAAAACCCAACAACATTTTTCACCGTAAATTGTGCTGAAAAAATTTGAATCTCCCAACCAGTAACACGGAAAGAACACCTTGTAAGTTTGACCTTGATTTCATCTCTCAGATGTTAATTATATTCAGGCCTACACTTCTCCTGAGTTTTGCAGCCATTGGCAGTTAATTGTTGTTCAAGTTTGCAATGCATTTGTGGTTCTTCAACTCCTGCTTTAAACTTGTGGAAAGTAGTGTTGTGCTTCAATTTTGAACCTGAAACATTTTTTCGATCCCAAGTTGAACCAGCGAGACTACTTTGGTGGTGAAATTGAAGGCCGGATTGCAGTGCTAAAGCTCTTGAATTGATCATGAGCACAAGACTTTGAATGAAATA